CTTGATCAGAGCATCAAGCACCATAGGCCCACATCTATAACAGAAAACAAAGTCAGTGAACCTGTGTAACTCCCCACCAGCCTCAGTGCTTGATCTCTGGCACCCCAACTAAGCAGCACCTAAAAGGACTTTCATCAACTAAAATTAAAAATACACTTTTTTTTGCCAATTCCAGGCAACAAGAGCAAGCTAACTTGATCACCTGCAAGATGCATTCGCCTCAGTACACCCCAGTGTCAGAGCAGGAGAGAAGCCCTTTCTTTCGCTGATACCCTGACGATTTGGCTCAGCTGGAGAGGGTTCAGACAGCCCAACTGAAAACCGAGTGCCCTGCTACCGGTTCTCTCCTTTTGGGTCAGGTTTTAACAAGTCTGCCTGTCCTCATTAGTCACAAGAGGCAGTGCTGCACACAAAACCAAACAGTCTTGGACAACTTATGTAATTTTATGTACTACATACAAGGCAACGCCCAGAAATTAATAACTGGTGCAAGTTACACAAAAATTTGAGTTCTCCATCATGTGCTGCTTAAGTAAGGAGCTGCACGGCTTTGTATCTGAAGCTTTCAGAAAGGGCTCGAGGTAAATTCCTCTGGCAAGATCACAGCAGCAACTGGAGCCCAGGGAAATCAAGGCACACGTGCCCACATGAAGGTTTCTGCCCCACATGGAAGACTGCATCCCTCCAAAGAATTACGGAGAAGTAAGAGCTTTCTTGGTGACAGCTACACCGAAGTGTGCAGGTGGTTACTAGAAGTTTAATATGACCTAAAAATTAGAAGTAACTGAGTGTTAAGAAAACTACATGAAGAGTCAATAAAGCTTCCACCTATCTCCCAGGTCTGGGACTGTGAGCTACACATAAACGAGTTTCCTTTTGGAACATGCCCCCAGATTTACCATGTAAATAAAGCTTATTAAAGCCACAAACACATTCAAGCCTTCAACACAACTCAGGGACACAGGTAAAACCTCACAGAAGTCACAAAACAAAGGGACCATTTTACTGCTGACAGCTATTAAGACCCTGGCATTCAGAGTACAGTTTTATTTGCCACATTTAGCACCAACAGGTGAGGGAGGGGAAAATAATCCCATGTGATCATAGTGAGAGCTGCTTTATCAAGAAATAACACTGATCTCACCTGTGCTGAGGACAAGGTGCTCTGTAACACAGCTGAGGCACCACCTTCCTGGCCACTCCAACAAGGTTTTAACAGTCCCTGAAGCTTAATGAGACTGCTGACACCTTTAGCTGTCAGCTCAAGCACTCCTCAGCCACCCTCTGTTATCACTTGTCAGATAACCTGCATGCACACACAGCCCCAGGGCACCCGCCTGGCGTACTCACTTATTCAAGTCCACTTCATACGTCTGCATGCGGGGCTTGTCCCCAGGCTTATCGGGATCCCATCTGTAGATGGCAAACTTCTTGATTCGGGGCGCCGCCGCAGCTGCTGTCTGCGCTCCCCGACACATCTGTATTCAAACAACAGCAAAACAGCCCTTAGGTCCCTTCGAGTGGCTTTTAGCCAGGCAACAAAATTACTTGAGGCTGCATACTTCGGGGTGAGAGCTGCAGGACCCATCACTGCTTTGTATTTGGGCACTCATACAGTTTTTGGAAAATCTGCTCAAGGATTTGCTGCAGCAGCGTACCCTCGCGCATACAACCACCTCTGTCCTCCACAAGGCAGAGGGGATAATCCTAAAACTAAGGGGCAGCCCACAGGTGCTCCTGTAGTTCCTGCAGACACTGCTTCCTCCACAGCCCTGAAGACTCTCCCTGCCCCAAACCTGCCCTCAGAAGCTCCCAGCCACATCCCTGCCCAGCTCCAGGCCAACAACCAACCTCCTCTCAGTATTCCCCCAGGAGCTTCTTCCCCCTCCAGCCTACCTGCCCCTACTCACCTCTCCCCAAATTACCCCACATTCTTATTGCTCCTGTTCCCGCTTCTCTTCCCACCCCCCTTTTGGATCTCCTGCACCCCCGAGTCTCCTGTCAACCTCTATC